CTAATCCCCCACCCCCCCCTTTCCCCCCATCAATGTTAGTTTGTATTCCCCTGCTCCCCCCCACCGCCCGCCATCCGTCCCCCCCCACCCCCCCCCGCCCCCAACAACCCACCCCCCCCATCCCCCTGCCCCCCCCCCCGCCACCCCCACGCCACATAATTTTCTTGGTGGGTACTTCGGGTAGGGGGGTGGGTTGTATATTTGTTTATGGGCTGGGGGTGGGCGAGTGGCTGAATATGCAATAGAGAAGGACGCAGGACCAAGGTGTAGGTCGGATATGGAGGGGGATTTTTTTTTTTTTTTTTTTTATGGGATAATAAATGGGGGGCGGGGTGGTGGGAGGGGGGGCCCTGTTTGACAGGTGAGCTAGCTTGTGTGGGGGGAGGGGCACGCAGAGTAGGGGGCATCATATATAAAATACCCCATACCATTTCCGCAACCCACACGGAGATGCTTTTACGCCTCCTGGCACACTTAGGGCGTTTGCGCGGGGGTGGGGGTGATGTCTGTCTGGATAAGATAATGAGGACGACCCCTGGCATTCTACCACGAAGTCTGAATTGGCTGTTTGCGCCTTTATTACGCAGTGCTACCTTGTTCCAGAATTATTATAGTACTTCAGGGGAAATATGGGAACTGGGCACCTCCCCCGCCTCAGCCCCCCCCCCCCTCGCCCCGCCCCCCCCCGCCCCCCCGCCCCCCCCCCCCCCCCCCCCCCCCCCCCCGCCCCCCCCCCCCCCCCCCCCCCCCCCCCCCCGCCCCCCCCCCCGCCCCCCCCCCCCCCCCCCCGCCCCCCCCCCCCCCCCCCCCCCCCCCCCCCCCCCCCGCCCCCCCCCCCCCCCCCCCCCCCCCCCCCCCCCCCCCCCCCCTCCCCCCCCCCCCCCCCCCCCCCCCCCCCCCCCCCCCCCCCCCCCCCCCCCCCCCCCCCCCCCCCGCCCCCCCCCCCCCCGCCCCCCCCCCTCCCCCCCCCCCCGCCCCCCCCCCCCCCCCCCCCCCCCCGCCCCCCCCCCCCCCCCCGCCCCCCCCGCCCCCCCCCGCCCGCCCCCCCCCCCCCCCCCCCCCGCCCGCCCCCCGCCCCCCCCCGCCCCCCCCGGCCCGCCCCCCCCCCCCCGCCCGCCCCCCCCCCCCCCCCCCCCCCCCGCCCCGCCCCCCGCCCCCCCCCCGCCGCCCCCCCCGCCCCGCCCCCCCGCCGCCAAGACAACAAGTTTTTTTCTAGGGGTTGTAGAGCGATCGTTCTGAGCTCTTCAGAAGCTCAGCTGAGCGGTAAGCATAGACTTAACTCCGAACGGACTGACAACGGCGAGCGTCTGCTGCAACTGTGTGCGGAGCACCAGTTGTTTCTTACTAGCACTGCTTTTAGACACAGTGGGCGCCGAAGTGCCACTTGGCGTCCTCCTGTAGCTGACCAGCGATGGACCCAAATTGATCACATTGCCATAAGTTACAGGTGGCGCGGTTCCATTCTGGATTGCCGCTCGTACTGGAGTACCTGTGTCGACTCTGATCATGCCTTGGTGCGCTGTCGTTTCGCCATGAACTTTACCGGAAGGCGCACAAACCGTCTCCCCCGATTGGCAACGGAGAAATTGTCTCAGCCATCGGTCAGGCAAGCCTATTAAGAAGCACTGCATACCGAACTTCCGCAGTCTTGTCCTAATGACACTGAACTTCAGTGGAATAGGATCTCGGCCGCTATGCACGACGCAGGAGCATCTGTTTGCGGCACCATCAGTCGTCACCGCACCAGTCACTGGATATCCAAGAGGTCCGTGAACCTGTTGGAATCCAGAAGACACCTCCCGGCTGGCTCTGAACACCATGTGACCAGACGGGCTATTAGGCGTGAACTAAAGCGGAGCCTACGTGCTGACAAGGAAGCCTGGTGGACCAGTAGGGCTCACGAAATGGAGGAGGCAGGAGCAGTAGGCAATTACCGCAAACTCTTCAAGCTAATCCGCACCACTGGTCCCAGAAAACCAGGCGTCAGTGAGACAATCAGAGACAGCGCGGGTGCGCTGATACACAATAAGGAGCGCCGAATGGCTCGTTGGGCTAAACACTTTCAAGATCAGTTCAGCTGGCCCCCTGCTCCCGGACCTCTTCCTACTCAAGTGATGCAGGACGAGCCATGGACGGTTAGTTTAGAGTCTCCGTCGGAGGCCGAGGTCCGAAACGCGATTACAGCCCTCAATCGTTTTCGTGCTGCTGGCCCGGATTCCCTCCCACCTGCACTATTTAAGGATGGAGGTGAGGTCCTCTGCAAAGCACTGACGTATCTGGAACGAAGAGTGTCCCGCCTAATTGGAGCGAATCGATTATAGTGGCAATATACAAGAAGGGCAGTCGCACAGACTGTGCGAACCACAGGGGTATTAGCCTAACGCCAGTTGTGACAAAAGTATTGGCCTCGATTCTCGTTCGTCGCCTCACTGCGGAACGGGAATCTCGGATTAGGGAAGAGCAGGCCGGTTTTCGCCCAGGACGTGGCTGTATAGACCATATATTTACTTTGCGGCAGGTGCTAGAGCAGCGCCACGCATACCGCAGACCGACAATAGCTGTGTTCCTCGATTTCAAGAGTGCGTTCGATTCAGTCGATCGATCGATTCTGTTCGAATTACTTGCGCGAAAAGGTGTTCCCACGAAATATGTGAACATCCTTCGTACTCCATACTCGAACACTACAGGCCGCGTCAGGGTCTATGGTGCCCTATCGGATTGCTTTTGGACTACAAGTAGCGTTCGTCAGAGTTGTCCGATTTCCCCGCTTTTGTTCAATTTCGTCGTGGATTCTATCATGTAGTGTTCCCTTGCGGAATCTCACGATGTAGGCGTTGAAGTGCTTCCTGGTGAAAGGTTAGTTGATATAGATTATGCGGACGATATCGTCTTGCTTTTCGATGATGTTGGGGCCGCACAATCAACCCTGAATAGCCTGTCCAGTGTGGTCCCATTATTTGGTATGCACTTCGCACCTTCAAAGTGCAAAGTATTGCTGCAGGACCACCAGCCACTTGATGACCCCTTGACGCTTGCTAACGAGGAACTCGAGGTGGTTGATCATTTCACTTATCTTGGCAGCCGCATCAGCAATGATGGGCGCATAGAAACTGACGTGAGCTCACGCATTGCAAAGGCCAGAGCTGCCTTCTTGAATCTGCGTCATCTTTGGCGACAGAAGGGAGTTTCCCTTCGTCCGGAAGGCCGTGTACACAAGGCCACAGTGAGGGCCGTTCTGCTCTATGTTAGTGAAACTTGGCCCCTTCGGTCTGAAGATCTGAGGCGCCTTCAAGTCTCTGATCATCGTTGTTTGCGAAGCATTGCTGGTGTCGGATGGCACCAGCGTGTCCGCAACGATGATGTGCGTAGGCGAGTACTAGGTGGTGATAATCACGCTAGCTCCCTAGAACAACAGATAGCACTGAATAAGTTGCGTTGGCCCGGGCACGTGCTACGCATGCCTGGTCACCATTCACCTAGGAGGGCCTTGTTTAGTCTGCCAGGTGTAGGGTGGCGCAAAGCTCGAGGTGGACAGAAGTTGACTTGGCAGCGGGAAATGAAGTCACTGACGACCAAACTGGGTGCCGTTGGTCCGTCTCGCCTTTCGGGTTGGAGTCCACGTGACTCACCTTGTGCTTGGCTCGAGACTTTACAGGACATGGCTCGCAACCGACACCAGTGGCGCGTCTGCTGCTGTCTTCTAATCGGATTGTCTGTTTAAGGTGTGTTTGGTGCTCAGTCATCTGCGGGATACTGGCTGATTATGACGCGTGGCAGTGAAGGCCGCAAGGAAGCTGTCTCGCCGATGCCGCCTTATCTTTGCACGATAGTCAGCTGTTTGTGACGGTATGTTGTCTACACAAGGTGTAGGCGCCTTGACCCTGAATGTTTGCTTAGGGCATTAAGGTTTTCGGGTAAGTCCCCTTTCTCTCCCTCTTCTTATTTTTTATGTCATAGGTCCTCATGGTTGTATGGCAGCGAAGCATCAGTTCAAATGGCTGATGTACTGCTGTTGATGATGATGATGATGCTTAGCGTACGGGATACTGGTGTTTTTGCTTGTGAGTTACTCTGGTCTCATGGCTTCCAGAGGATCCCTGCGAACTATCAACCGATTCGTGCGAGATGAGCATCAATTTGAAATCCGTTCTGCGCACCGCCGAGTACGTTATATAGTATATAAACAAAGGTATAAACTTGATTGTGCCAGTGGCTAAGCTGTCGGGGTTGAGAACGCCATGTGCATGAACGTCATGCTCTTGCATATAACGACCCTAGTGATAGTGGTCACATAGTGATTCAGGGGATTGAACCAAACTAGAAACAGTAAGCTCACAACCATAGCAATTTCGTTTAAGTCAAGCGCGACACATTGGTGCAAACTCGTCTACACCAGCACGACTGTTTGGATGGGATTCATGTCCGCACAGACAATGTCAAGGCTTGTATTACCAACGAACACTATACTGGTGAATTTGCTTGTGTTACAGGGTTGGCACAGCCCTGCCAACCTCACCAGGATTCCACCGGCGCCATTACACTATCGGGCCTGAACAACACCGTCGCTATGCAGAGGCCTAAACAACTCACTTCAGGACGGTGCTGTCTTTACGGGAACTGCCGCCAAGGCTCCACTCAACCGCGCAGATCACAATGGAGTAGTCCTCAGTGAGAACGCGGCCAATGTATCCTGACAGTTTCAACTGAACTCGCCCCACTCTCCCGGTCTGTAGAATTTGACCTACTGGTCAACACGGCCAAGTCCTCGTTTATGAGCCTGGGGAGGGGTAGTAATGGAAGTGCGTACACCCTGGTCGGTCACCCGCTGCATCCCATCAGTTCCGTAAAGGATCTAGGCGTACTGTCACGCTGTGATATGAAATCTGTCGACAAACATAGTGTACGCAAACGGATTACGCCCGCTTTGAGCACTTTGCACGCAGTTTCTGCACTTGGTCTGGAGATTTCCACTCGTCTGTTCTCTTCCATAATAAGACGGGTACTTGAGTACGGCTCACCCGCCTATTGCCCGACCACAACAGGTGAGGTGCAGAGATTGGAACGGGTTCAGCATATAGCTTCATCATCATCATCATCAACAGCAGTACATCAGCCATTTGAACTGATGCTTCGCTGCCATACAACCATGAGGACCTATGACATAAAGAATAAGAAGAGAGAGAGAAGGGGGACTTACTTGAAAATCTTAATGCCCTAAGCAAACATTCAGGGTCAAGGCGCCTACACCTTGTGTAGACAACATACCGTCACAAACAGCTGACTATCGTGCAAAGATAAGGCGGCATCGGCGAGACAGCTTCCTTGCGGCCTTCACTGCCACGCGTCATAATCAGCCAGTATCCCGCAGATGACTGAGCGCCAAACACACTTTAAACAAGCAATCCGATTAGAAGACAGCAGCAGACGCGCCACTGGTGTCGGTTGCGAGCCATGTCCTGTAAAGTCTCGAGCCAAGCACAAGGTGAGTCACGTGCACTCCAACCCGAAAGGCGAGACGGACCAACGGCACCCAGTTTGGTCGTCAGTGACTTCATTTCCCGCTGCCAAGTCAACTTCTGTCCACCTCGAGCTTTGCGCCATCCTACACCTGGTAGACTGAACAAGGTCCTCCTAAGTGAATGGTGACTAGCCATGCGTTGCACGTGCCCGAGCCAACGCAACTTATTCAGTGTTATCTGTTGTTCTAGGGAGCTAGCGTGATTATCACCACCTAGTACTCGCCTACGCACATCATCGTTGCGGACACGCTGGTGCCATCCGACACCAGCAATGCTTCGCAAACAACGATGATCAGAGACTTGAAGGCGCCTCAGATCTTCAGACCGAAGG